GTAACTACAGCAGGTTTAAGCTATGCTGATGTTTTACTATTTTGATAAGACGTTGGAGAATATGAAATCAACCAAATTACACATTATGGCAAGTAAGCTATCCCTCAAACTGGATCAGACCTATGAGGAATGTATTACTATTTTGATAAGACGTTGGAGAATATGAAATCAACCAAATTACACATTATGGCAAGTAAGCTATCCCTCAAACTGGATCAGACCTATGAGGAATGTATATTCTTATAGTTTTGAACTCACGTTAATTAAAAGGTAAAAGTAGAACTACGGTGTTTTAAAAACCATCTCTTAAACTAAGCAGTCATTACATTTGGAAAAAATTTAACCACTTTATAATTAGTAGACAGAGCTTCTACCATTTCGATATTCAAGCTACAAATTAATTTCAATAGAAGTTGTCAATTTCAGAAGTTAAAAGTTGTCAATTTATACTTACTAGAGGTCGCCCAGTGGTCGAAAACTCGACCAAAAATATCTAATGTGCGGACTTCTCTATTTTTACCCTACGCTGTAAATTCAAATTCAAATTAGTTTATTCATCTAAAAATTAACAAAACAATATTGCATTAGCTAAGACAGAAAAAAAAACATCTGATTGAAATTTCTTCCATTAGTTTTGATTTTCTGTTTATATTGTGTTGTTATTTCGTCACCAGCAGAAACCCATAAGGTCCAAGTTAATTTTTTTTTAAATTTTATATTTATTTTTGGACTTGTTTTTGAGCCTATTTTAATTTATGAAGGGGTTTTGCACATCTACAGGAAAATATATTTCCAACAGTATGCGCAGATTTTCCCTGCGATGCACACGAGCCGAGAAAAAAGGTTTAAAGAAACATGCTTGCCTATTAATGTAAAGATCATCGGAGGAAAATCTCATGCTATATAATTGATACCGGTTAAATTGCATCACATATTGTCCGTTGTAATAAACAGCACTATAACACGCCAATGTATGAGTGTCTAAGCTATGCGTTACCCAAATCTCAGCTGTTTCGGAGCTCCGCCCCACATCTGTTGTTTAGGTTGTAGGCGAAACTGTGATATATTTATTACCTTTGTTAAAAACATATGTCTACAACAAATTTATTGATCGTTTCGATTAAAATATTCAAACTTGACAAATACTCAAACTACTACCCACTTGCAACATTGATAGAATCTAATTAAAATCTTCTGGTAAAACGCCAAGAGATGCTAAACATTCGAGAAATAAAATCTGTGTAAACCCAGCATATAAACATGGTCCACTCATTAAACAGGGAATGGGCTGAGGGAGCGTGAAGACGCTGATATCTTGTGGGAACATCTGCCGTCAATTAGCTAAATAAAGACATGTAGCGATCAGATGACCAGTGATCAGCTGATAGGGGCTACACGTGTCGTCTGCACCAGCTGATCAGCTGATCACGTGATAACGAACACCCGTACCTGACAAGTCGGCAGCAGAAAAGGCGGGTGATTTCTAAATTTGGTTCTCTACGCGGGAACAATAGGGCGAGAATTCGGCAATAAATGGGGTTGAAAAATGCACGATTCCTTTAAAGAAACCTACAGCATTTTTAATAAAAAAGTAATATCTATTTTTTGCTAACGTGAACTACTGTATCATGTTTTGGTTATCCACACAAATCATATTTCTGATTTTCATCCGTCTTACGCGTAGTGACTTGTTTTTATAACTCGTTAAACACCCATTTTCTAAAAACAAAGGAATTACTGTTAGTATGAAAACAGTAAGATTGCTCAGTCCTAAAACTATAAGAGAAGTACAAACCAATGGATGATTGCAGAGTAAGTACTAAACAATATTTGGGTGCGAAGTACCAATGGATAATTGTAGCGAAGGGGCTCCATATATCAGTAACTCAATAATTAAGTTAATGATTAAGAAAAAGAGAATACAATTAGAAAGGGTAGTAAGAAACAGTTGGAAGGACCAGGGGGTTATGTTGAGAAATGGAAATATTCAAATTAAAAGAATATTTGAGAGGGAATTTTTCAGATAAAAGATTAACACCCTTGTTACAATTGAAACACTGTTTTAGTTATTTTTTTAACAATTTAATGGAGAAATAATGTAATTTGATTGTATTATTAAGAACAGAGTTATAAGTATAACATAACACATAAACCTTGGAATATAACGTTCGGAGGGATATATTTAACATTCTTGATAATTTATTGAAATGCTCATTGAAATATGTAAGCTGTATTACTCAAAGTAAAAACGTACTTCCATTTCTTACACACCATGTCATGGGTTTCTGTTTTTTTTTTTTTTTTTTTTTTGCTTCTTCATACAAGATACATTGGCAGTGTTGTATAATCCTAGGAGTCAATCCTACCGAACCACATAATTTAAAATTTTTAAACGTAAAGTATGTCTTATTATTATCATCTAGAAACACGACTCTGCTAGTCTTTCATGAAACCTACCTCTAGATATCTGTCACACAGCTCTCGTGCGAATGTTTTTCAAAACCAGACATAGCATGTATGTTTTTTCCAAGCTTACTCATGCGTCGCTCAAAACCCTCAGGACTTTATAGCTAGTACCTAAACGTAAACAGCCATTATATTAGCAGTAAAATTGTCTAATTGGGATTTAAAGCCAATAATGCCATAAAAGTTAAACATATCCTTTACAACAAAACCTCTTAAAGTTACTGCCTCAAGGTTGTAAACCGTTTAATGACCGCCTCCACAATACATGGCGTAAAGCCGACTGCAACTACTTAGGGAATAACAATCTTAATTACACACAACGGGGTGTTCTTGATCTACTCCACACAAGGTGGGGTTTGACGATGAAAAAAATCCGCAATTAGAATTGGAACTAAGTAGAGCGTAATAGACCCTATGGTATGACCCCCCCCTAATATAAACAGGTTTACACTTCTATTTAAGTGAATGATGGTTGTTCAACCAAGATATAAACTGATATACAAAGCAAAAATAAATTCCATCGTTAATCAGATTCATATCTATAATTATTTAATACGCAAGCAGGTTTTTTGTGACAATTACTCCTCCGAAACTACTGAACCGATTGACATGTTTTTGGTGTCATTGGAAAGAGCGTAACGTGAAGTTGTGCAGGAAACTTTCTTTTTACGGAAATAATTAGGGAGTGAGGCCCTGGGGCCCTTTAAAGTTTCGCATTTCTTTATAAGATTAACATGGGAAACAAACATTTTTTGTTATGAAACTACTGCTGTTGTCAGAAATTAAAAGTGCAAAGAAGAACATTATGTTAATTGTAACAGTCAATAAGTTTGGTAATTTAATAGTTTGCTACAAACATTTACTGACTTGGTTGAAATTAAATATTTACTACAGTATTTGAATTTGAGTTGGCGTAATTATTACAATGGAAAAAAACGAGAGAGCCTGGATAAATTGATGCACTAAAAAAACTGAATTAATACTGTGCTGCATTTCTTATAGTAATCATTGAAAGAGCCGATTTGCAAACTATGGGAACATAGGAAAGTCATAGAACACCCCCAAGGAGAAGAAATAGAAATAATGTTGTTTTTTTTTAGAATTTATAATCGTTATTATGGACAACCTAATGCGGCTATGAGTAAGTCTATTTGTAGAAAACACTAAAAACCAGATCAGCTTTTGAAAAATTACCAAGATATTTACGAGAAATGTTGATTATATCGATCTGTTATGTTCATCTTCAGTATTTCCATAATCTTTGAGTCGAATCTTTTAAAGTCATCAGAAATTATGACTGTTATTCGTTTTAAAATAACACCTGTAATTCTTGGCAATTATTGCTCGAATTCGAGCAACAGGGACACTAGTTTAAATAGTTCTGCAACGAGGCATACACCAAGGATAAAAATTAAACAGAACGAGGCTTCGGTTATAATGGTATTACAATTGTAATAGTTACTCTCTATAATCAATGAAATTTCCACTGAAAAAGAATAATGGGATTCGGTTGGTTTTTTCAGTCAGCTGTGAAATATGTACAATATGAAAACATTTGGAGAAATATAAACAAATGAGATGTGTCCTGTTGTGAACTATTCTGAGCTGTTCTAAACAAATTGTAAATATTTAAGTTTCCTATGGAAACTAACTAGTGTAATACCTGCTCAATACAATAAGATAAAATTATTTAATTTTATCATCACATTGGCGTGATTATAACGTGAACTTCAGACATCCTTTTGGACCATAAGGCCTATGGGATTAAGATAATTAGGGAATAAGACGCAAAAATGTACGTAGTTAAAACTTTTTATGTTGATATCTCATGATTACAACACAGGAAAGACTGTGGGGAAGACCGTAGAGGAATTAAACCTTCAGAAATGAGTAAGAAATAATTGCTGATAGTAGCTCAGTGCACGATAAGCATTGAGCTACTAAGTTTGAAAGTTGGGAACCCCCTTTTTACTGAAGAACTGTCAGCAATGGGGTAAAATTAAACTAAGTATTGAATGATAATATCGCAAACCAGCAACTAAAACTGGCAACCTCGAAGTAGCGTAACTTAATTTAAATTGTATAAATAAATATTATTTGTTGAAGGTATAACAAACTAAGATTTAGGCAATGCTTTTCAGAGAAACGGGTAATCAGTTTTCCCGGAAAGACGGGAAAGACTTTTTTTTTAATTCCTACATTCGTATGGTTGCCATTTCATAAGAAAGTATAAAGTAAGTAGGTATAGTCAAACATTTTCAGTTTTTGTTCCAACAGATAGGCCTACTACGGACAATAAAAAAAACGTAGCAAAAATTAAATACAATATAATGAAACACCAATGCACATTCTCTCTAAATACAATATGCATGTTCACTCATACTTTGATGTGTTGTTACAGAAGACTGGAACATAGTCGAACTAAAGGACATTTTAGATTACACTTGTAATCACTGTGCTTTAGTGGAGGATTGCTGTACATTGCAGTTCCATTATACTAATTTGTTTTCATATTTTTTACAAATAAGGCAACATTCATGTCCTGGTCTATGTATTTAGAGAATTATAACAGCTATTTATTTGTTTTTTTGTCATAAGTGTCCTTCTCCTTGTACCCTGAGACGTATCCTGCATTGTCCTTCACGTCCTCTCTGCCTTCTATACCCTTGCCTTTGCCTGAGTCGTCAAACCTCTGTTTGTGAGCCCCCGTGTACTTGGAAGTGTCAGTCAATCGATCTACAGCGCCAACCTGGAAACCATGTTGAACAGGTTCTATATAAATGCTCACAAATGCGAATAAATATTTTAAATAATCAAGGCCATAATCAGGCTTTCAAAAAATTGAAACACCATTCTCTTAGCAGGCTCCTCAGTTGGGAAATCACTACACACCAACTTTAGTAAAGCTTTAAAGTTTTAAAACTCTGAGTCAGACTCTATCGCTAGTCTATTCCATAACCAAAAAGCGGTTTCAAGTCCCAAATGTTTAAATGTATTTGTATTGTGAATTCAAACTACGAATCTGCGATTAGAATGCTGTTTCATGATTTGAAAAACTAATGGTAGACCTACGTTTAAACCCGAAATGTATAGGCCTACATGGTCAAGGTGTTTAAAAGGGAATTGCGTAGAACGAAGGTACGTCACCTTGATTACTCTTTCATTCAGAAATTCCGGAGGCTACAAAAATGAATAAATTATATTTTACAAGGTTAGTTTAATCCAATATAGAGATGGAAAATGCCCACTCTCCTCTCAAATAGGTAGTATAATAAAGGACTTTGGACAAACCATCGATACATCAATGGGCCGAACTAATCTCGCTTGATAACAAATTACAATCCGCTCTCTAGGCTAAACATACCTTGGTAGCCTGCGTGGTATTCGTAGTCCCTGGAGCCATACAAGAAGCCAGCTTGTCCTTCATGGACTTCGCATCCATCTTCTTGGTCGTCGCTAAATCTTCCAGGAACTTGACAAAGTTGTCATACTGAATGGTCTTCGACCCTCTCTGTACCTTGTTAAAGCAGATGCCAGTGTCCGTGGTGGTGATCTTCTTCCCGTCTATGATAGAGGCTTGTTTCAGCCACTTGTCCAGTTGAGTGAGTGTCATCTGTTTTCCGTCACTCGCAGTGTTGCCGAACTTGGAGAAACTTTTGAAAGCATCTTCCAAAGAAGCTGGTGAGTCTGATGCAGCCATGATGGACGATCTGTGTCTCAAGTCGGTCACTATAGGAGGTGGAAATTCACGAGGGCGAGACCCTCTGGAATTGCAGGGGCAACCTATTTTGTAGAGGAAAATTGAGAATTTTGATGTGGTGGTTGTGAAATGTTTGTGTGTTGTGTTTCCATGGATATATTTTGTGATTATTGATCATATGTTTTCAAATTTAATCTTGCTATTCAGATTGAGGTGAGGATCAGACCTAAAGAAAAATTATTTGTTCGATATGTTGATAAATACGAAATCCATGATAACCAATCGAATTCGTACGAAAATAATTATACATTTAGACGGTTTAATATTTTTTTATATTCATTTGAAAATAAACAATTTGTTATGTATATAAATCACGGTCAGACCTTTTGACATTTGACATACTATATAATGCATCATCAATCTGAAATAGATTGAATTGCTTACACCTTCAAGATAGTGATTTGTTGTTTGTAGGGTTTTGATCATTTTTTACGAAAGTTCGATATTTTTTATTGCTAGTTTAAGGCTTTGGTTGAAGAAGGAAGATTACTGTAATTACATTAAGTCTAATGAAACTTTCAGAACATGCAGTAACACGCGAAGTCTAATATAAAATAAAATATATACGGTAGCTTGCATGTAGAAGTGTTGATGTTAAGAAAGAAATAAGATGATTTTCATTTCGTATTTCGACATTATCAAACTCAATATGTACATATTGAAAACAACTTGAATTTGCCGATAAAATTACTTAAGATTAAATCATAGGCTTTGTATTTTTTTTATCCTAGACACAAAAGCACAGTTAATTCAAGTATTAAAAAACATAAGTTTTTGAAATTTTTCGTCAAGCTAAATATTAGTGGTCACTTATTAACAGAAGGTTTAAGACATCAACGATTGTAGCATTCCAATAACACTTTCTTCAATAGTCTTCAAATTGCAGAAAAATATTAAATGTTAAATGATGACGTTTAGTCGGATAACGTTTAATGAACGCACATAACTATCATCCCATCTAGAACTACTAACTACTTGACTTAACACATTAACTACTTGTTTTAACAATGATTCCTCTTCACTAAGCTTTGTGCTAGTCTTTTAAATTTAAATGTCGGGCCAATTGCAAAAACAAATAGAGCATATAAATACACGTTTAATTAAATTCATTGTATTACAATATGAAAGTGGCCCGCCGCGATCAGCTGTTCCAAATGTAGGAGGCGCTGATCAGCTGATTTTAATGTAGAGGCGTCTGATCACCTGATGTTATCTGTGAATTCATTAGTTGTGTCCGGGTTTGGACCTTGGTGAGACCAGCATTACATTGTACTAGGTACGGCTCGGATGATACTCTTGACAATTATTTGTGGTGTGTTCATACATATTTCTATTACATAAATTACTGTGTTTTTTATAAACACTACCTGTTAGCCTATCCCTCAAACGAAAATTAAAATTAATTATTGGCAAGACTATCAAGGAGGTTTCAGAATAAGATTGACTAATCCTTGAGCACACGCCATAAGAAATTCCACACTATATTTTGAAAGCTAATTTTGTATGTTTGGGCTATATAAGTTTTTGTCGGCATCTATACACAAAGTATAGTTATAGCATTATTCTTTTAACATCGTGGCATGGAATATGTGTTAAGTTGGGGGGGGGGGCATTATTTGTGCCAACTGACCTTCAGGTAGTTGGGTATTCCTGAATTGCGCCAAGAACTCCATGGATCCACCCGATACGTCCCTGTGGCGGCTCTCTTTCACTATATAATTGAGTAGGTTTAGTTAGGTTAGGATATGTTAGGTTATGTTAGGTTAGGATGACACGTAAACAAGGACATTCCACTCAACCCCAACCTGGCTATTGCTAGGTGCAACTAAGGAAAAGTTTTTGGGACCCTTTGAGGGTTTGGTGCCATTAAGGAACTCTTTGGAGCAAAACAAAACTGTTCCGTGGATACACGACCGTTCGGTCCGTTTATCTAGAGAATATCCAAAATGTAGGTAGCCTGATAGCAAGTCAGTAATTAATTGATTTTATACGTCTGGCTACTTTTATTCAGTGGTCTGACTTTGATAGACGCACTGACACACATAATTTGTCAGCGAAAAGTTTAGTGTTTTGAATCCATAATTTTTACGAATAGTCAGACCTAAGCCTAATTTTGGACATATAAAAGCCTCCAAGTGTGGATTCGGTTGTTTGTGACGATAAGCAGTATATTTTGGCTTGAACACGAAGCAACAAAGTTGTACTGACCCACAAAGTTTGTTCCAAAATAAACACATGGCCCAATATAGCGGAGATGACGTCACCCACTGGCCACTACGGCACTCCCCCATTCATGTCTGAACCCCACATTTCTGACCAACTGCCAATATAATTATTGCTGGAGAGTGTCAAGATGACGTCAGAACGGTTGTTTTGGCGGGTGATATAAATACTTGGAATATAAATAAACATACTTGCGTTTTCATGATCACGGACGGATTCTCTTTCGTGTATAACAGCGTGTACTATTAATACACCGTACTTGAAGTGTGCTTGACTGTTGCGTTCGAATACATGTTGTTCGCGTAACTATTACTTTTACTAAAATATGTTTTGTATTCAATACTAACATATTATTTGAGAATGTGATGATAAGTAATGATTGTTTGTTTTAAAATGGCACTATATTATTCTTTAAATACCACGTCAATTCCATTGAATTTTGTGCTCGCATTTTTTGACCCGGAAAAAGTCCTAGGTGTTATTTTGGGATCCTAAACGGGGAGATATATTTATGATTTAGAACAATACATTTATATATAATTAATTGTTGATGTGTTATTTTAGAATAGTTCAGGTTCAGAAACAAACATATAGTTAGGTGTTGTTGGACTGTTTCCTTTATATGGTGTCCTATGATAAGGTTTGTCCATCATGCATTGCATTAGTATACATTTTATACTACTGATTTCAAAACATACCAAATATTTACAGTCAGGTGGGGAATCAGTTTTATTTTTTCAATCCAAACAACCTGCTTTGTATTTTAAATGTACATGTGTAAATGAAAAACTAAAATTCAACACAATTTGAACTAGAATTATCATAACCTTACGACAGCGACATCGACACGCACATAAGGAGTGTGTCTGATAGTTCTATGGTCCGGATGTAAAGTAAGTGAGGAGTAAATGTGTTTTGTAAAGAGATTGAGAGGATGATGAGTGTAGCTCTGTTACTGAAATGTTTTAATACTTTATTCTAAAACGGCGACCATACGAATGTAGGTATTTTAAGCCAAGTATGAATGGAGATGAGTGCATGATGAGTGGTGCGATCTTGTAGTCTTGTTATTGTCTAAGGTCGGCACATTCCTTAGACACAGCTGTTAATTAATCTATCTATCTATACTATTATAAAAAAGAGGTGGTTGCTGTATGTGTGTATGGGAAAAGTAAACTCGAAAAATACTGGTCGGATTGGGCTGAAATTTGGCATGATGATAGCTCACATTCCCGATTAACATATAGGCATATTCTTATTTCAAAAATCCTTTCGGGCTCCGCCCCAGTGGCTCTGGAGTTTCCCATGTTAACCTTATGCGAAATGGAATTATTGAATCTTAACAGCTGTTTCAATTAAACAAGTTGGTTCTGTTCTATGATGTTCAATAGCATTAAAGTTACAAGGATTACCAACAGGGTGCAGCACTATTATTTCTTTTACATTTATGACAACAGCAACAGCTAATTTGCAACCAAAAGGTGCCTTGTAGTTAACGAATTGGTCTAATTATCAGGATAGTACTGCGGATAGTCGTAGTACTCAATAGTACGGACGTTCATCCACACCAGGGAGTATCGCATCCACAGTAGTACACCCCTATAAATATCCACAATACTGACATCGATAGGCTGTTTCTTACGTTTGAACAGCTGGGTCTAGTTTCAACCATAATAAACTACCGAAATTTCCGATCGAGCCAACATTCGAGCACAGCTCAGCTTCAATTTAACACAGTCTACGTTTCCCCAGTGTTTTACTCGCCAGCGCAGTAGAGCACAGCAGCTTGCGCACGTCGTATTATGCTACCTGGTCATTACCCCATATTACAGGAATTACCAGGTTAAGTCGCGCAGGTATATTCAGAGTGAGTTATTTGTTTTATGTGATGCCATGCAGACATTAATGTCGACAACTAGGGCAAGGCTGGCTGTAAGAGCACATTGTTGAGCCAAATTGAGGGGCCTGGAACAAGTTTACCTAGATCTCGCTGTAGATGCAGTAATATTGCGGTAGTTTGGTTCAGTGAGAAAAAACGTTTACATTTGAACTTGATTATGGTTGACAACAAAATTGCATATTTATCATTGCCTCCAGGATTGATTGTTGACAATATAAATATGTTACGTCATTAATCCAAATTTTTTTATGGCCATAGACTAATTTTAAGTTGATGGCGTAAGGTATGTTATCCTTTTTATATGGAACAATTCGCAGTTGGTATTATGAGTACATATATCTATAATGATTCTCAATATTGGGATTCTTTACTATATAGAAATGTATCTAAGGCGTATTTCAATCCAAATGACATATGTATGTCAGGTTAAGATCTTGTGTTTTTTAGCTGCTAAGACCTTTTGATTCTTTGCTGACATGATGAATGATTAAGCATAGCTACATTAAACGTCCATAGATTTCCTCACCTGTTTGTCGGTGATTTTATGGTAAGCAATCTATAATACAACTGCAACAATAGGAACCCGTAAGTCTTATTTTTGTCAGGATGTGCAACGTTTTTCTTAAACCAATATCGATTAAGAGTTGTAGTGTTTGTGAGAAAAGCTTTCTGTTTAGCAACGAAAGTGATTGAAAAGTACGCCGGGAATTCTGACCACAAGCGAGCTCTGGCCGCCAGAGTCCTCATAAGGAAACTCACCAGAATGATTGGCACATCGGGAATACCTGTGACATTGTTCTGAGGAAAAACTGCATGTTTTGCCACGAGAGATTTATTTCACTGCGATATTTCAGATTGATTGGTTTTAGTTGTTGAATATTAGTTCAGGATAAATTTTAGATTTTAAGTAAATTTCTCGTCTCCCCTTATTAAAGAGTTGTATAATATTTATAGTTGCAATTGGCATTTACACATGTAAAGAGATTT